GACTCATTTCTCAAATATCTTACAAATATCTCAAAACCTGTAAGTTTTAGAAGGAAACGTTTTAGACAAAAGTTGTATGGTTTAAGGGGGACATAGATTCCAATGTGAGTCATGTGGTAGATGTCGTTTTCAAGAAATTTTAAAGGTAACGAATTTCTTAAATGAAACTCGGATATTTTTATCGACGACTGTACTTCAGATATATTCTTAAGTGATTAAGCATATATGTAAGAAAATATTTCATATACCATCTGTGCAGTGCAAAAACAAGGTCAACTAGTGCGTCATAGTTTTTCAGTAACAATATTAAGTCACTCATATTAATATATTTTGCAATCATTTTCCGCATAGAAACAGAATCATGTGATCGTGATTAGTAAAAATAGAATCATTCGATTGTATTACGTTCTATATAGCCGACGCCGCGCACAATTGCTACTGTTGTTACATAAGCATATTTATCTCTGCTTACGTCTTTATTTCGTATATTACATATCATATGATTAGAATTAATTCGTTTTTATCTTGTAATATGAGAAAATATGCGCAAGTAGTTATAAAACATAGCGCAAGTGAAGAGAAGTAATCCAACGCAACGTACAGTACTTACCTACTCGCACAACGCGGTGCCTATAACGCGAAGTTATCAGTCATGTAGTTTTGCCAAGAATTGAATCGAGGAACCATACTATTATTATATATCGATGGATTTGGCATGAAATGCTTTTTACTTTTTGTCCTTACAAAAACTTAAAAATTTGCAAAGGTGACGAAGGGGCGAGGGAGGGGGGGGGTGAAATATTGCATTTTAAAAAATTTGAATAGACCGATGGAAAGGGCATAAGATACTGTAAAACTTTTGTCTGAAATATTTTTTCATATACCTCATATTTTAGGAAATATTAAATAAAAATGAAAAAGTCCGTTTTTTTCAAGGGGTGGTTTCAACCCCTAAACCTCGAGATAAGCACATAAAAAAAAATACGTGTCTAATGTTTTTTGATGCTCTACAACATATCCAATGCTCATCAAATTCGGTGAGGGACGCCCCCGACCGTTTCCGTCTCAGTATGCCTATAGGGAGGGCAGATCAACAGATACTGCCTTACATCACCTTGTGAGCAGAATTGAGACGCAGCTAGAGGCAAAAGGATATGCACTGGGAGTCTTCCTGGACAGAGAGGAAGCTTTTGACAACATCTCATCCAAAATGATCAGGGAGGCGATGACCAGACACCACATTCCTACAGGGCTTGTGGATTGGACACAAAGCATGTTGACGGAAAGAGTTATAACGGTCAACTTTGGAGACTTAACCCTGGAGGGGGAACCATCCAAGGGATGTCCGCAGGGCGGCGTGCTATCGCCGCTGCTGTGGAGCCTGGTGGTCAATGACCTCCTAGTTAAGCTACAGGAAATGGGGCTCTCCACATATGGTTACGCAGATGACGTGGCTATAGTGGCAAGGGGCAATTTTCTCTCAACCCTCAAGGAACTGATAGACAGGGCCCTTAAAGTTGTACAAAACTGGTGTCAGGCTAAGGGGCTAAAGGTAAATCCAATGAAGACCGAAGCCATGATCTTCACCAGAAAATACAAACCCGAGCCAATAGAGCCACTAAGGCTCTAATGCTTCTATGGGACATAGAAATAAAATATGCTCCTCTGGTGAAATATTTGGAAGTCTATCTAGACCCCAAACTCAACTGGAAACAACATCTCGAGATGAAGAGGACTAAATTCTATGCAGCCTTCTGGGCATGCAGAAGAGCAATGGGCAAAACATGGGGCCTAAAACCCAAGATAGCCCTATGGTTATACAAGGCAGTCCTACTACCGAGACTGACCTATGCAGCCGTAGTCTGGAAGTCCAGAGTGGAAAAAGTGGAAGCTAGGAACCTGCTGAGAAGCCTTCAAGGTAACTACCTGAGGGCGTTAGCGGGGGTCATGAGAACCACCCCCACAGAGGCGCTAGAAGTAGCACTCTGCGTTCCACCACTGGACAGAATCATCATTTGTATGGCCAGACTCACGGCCTATAGGCTAAAATGCCAAGGCGAGTGGAGGGGTGGAGGAAGACAAATAGGACTAGAGCTACTCCAAGAAAGCCCCTTCACTCTAAGACAGGATAGAATCCCAAAAAAGTACCAGTTAAATAGGAACTTTAAAGTTCAAATACCAACAAGGGACGAGTGGAAAACTATCAGGCTTCCCATACATCCGAACACGGACATCTGGTACACAGACGGGTCGGGGGCGAATGGTCGCTTTGGAGCGGGCTTCTATTGCCAGAAGTTTGATCAAAG